GGGGGCTATTACTAGTCTATATATGTATAATTGCTCAGTCATACGACTTAGTTAGGGCGATCTGTTGCAGCTACAGAATTGAGTTGTATATCAAATTAAAGTGCAAGCTCCACAGGTTATTCAAAAATTGTCAGATTTCAAATCGGTAAGTAGATAGGGCGATCTGGTGTAGCTACAGAATTGAGTTGTATATCAAATTAAAGTGCAAGCTCCATAGGTTATCCAAAATTGTCAGATTTAAAATCGGTGAAGTAGGTGCTACAATATAAGCGTTTAAACATTTCCTTGCTTCACTCTCAACGTATCTATATATAATTGCTCAGTCATATGACTTAGTTAGGGCGATCTGGAGTAGCTACAGAATTGAGCTGTATATCAAATTAAAGTACAAGCTACAGTAACGTGGCAGTGACGTGGAGTGCAATGGGGTATAGTCATTGCGCTGGGTATGCAGTTACAGTTGCTTGGCTATACTCAATCCCGACTCTTGCGTCCTCGTTCGCGCACTCTGGGCAACGTGAGCAACCCATGTGCAAGATGCGGTAACCTATCCGAGTGGAGCCTTGGGTGACGGCAGAAAGAGAGGGAGCTTCAGTGGGGCCACTCTGACTTATTCGGTTTAAGGGCTTACTGAATTCTGCAGCATCTGTTCACCGGTACGTGCGGCTGCAAGCGGGTGTCTGCTTGGAGCAAGCGGCTCGCTATATAAACGTGTATTTGGTTGCGAAACCACCCCCGTCCCAGCAATGGGTTGTGCGCTGGGCTTGGGACCCGCCACGTAAAAACCACTTCCAGTGAAGAAGCAAGGCAAAGCCTCGGATGACGACCACGGCAAACGTTCAAAGGACTACGATTTGAGGGCATGCACCTGGGATGCCCGGACCCTTAATGGGGAAGGTGCCTCTGCCCGGCTGGTTGATGTCCTCGTAAGGACAAAAGCTGACATCACCGCCATCCAAGAAATGCGTTGGACGGGGCAAGGCAAACAATGTCTGGGGCCTTGCGACGTCTACTACAGCTGCCATGTAAAGGAGCGCAAATTCGGAGTTGGAGTTGTGGTGGGAGAGAGACTCCGTCGCCGAGTACTGTCGTTCACCCCGGTGGACGAGCGTCTAGCCACAATCCGCATCAAAGCGAGATTCTTCAACATCTCGCTCCTCTGCGCCCATGCCCCGACGGAAGAGAAGGATGAGGCATCCAAGGATCTCTTCTATGAGCGCACGTACGAGCGCTGCCCCCCGTCATGATATCAAAATCGTGCTTGGAGACTTCAATGCCAGGGTGGACAAAGAAGGGATCTTTGGAACCACCGCCGAAAATTCAGCCTCCACGACGAAACGTCCGACAACGGATTGAGGCTGATCGACTTCGCCGGGGCCCGAAACATGGTAGAATGCAGTACTAGGTTCAAGCATAAAAAGATCCATCAAGCTACCTGGCTGTCTCCGGATCGAAAAACGAGAAGCCAAATCGATCATGTTGTGATAGACGGAAGGCACGCTTCCAGTGTTTTAGACGTACGCACACTCCGAGGCCCAAACATCGACTCGGACCACTATCTTGTTGCAGCCAAGATACGCACTCGCCTCTGTGCAGCAAAAAATGTGCGCCCAAATATGCAAGGGAAGCTTAGCGTCGAAAAGCTGCAATCACAACAGACAGCCAGCGCTTTCGCTACTCGACTCTCACACCTGCTCTCAGAGAGCACTCTTCAACAAACCGACATATGCGAGCAGTGGAACCACATTTCCCGCTCATTAAGTACCGCCGCCGAAGAAGTAGTCGAGCCCGAAAGAACAACTGGTACGATGAGGAGTGTCAGGAAGCTGCAGAGAAAAAAGATGCCGCCTACAGGGCCACGCTGCGATCGGGCGTAACGCGCGTTATATGGGACCGCTATAGGGATCTGAAGAGGGAAGCGAGACGTATTTGCCGCAACAAGAAGAGAGAGGCAGAAATACGTGAGTGCGAAGAGATTGAAATGCTTGCCGACAGGAGGAATGCCCGTAAATTTTACCAGAGAGCTAGGCGACCTACGGAAGGTTTAAAGACCGGGGCGCACTCCTGTAAGAACAGTAATGGCGACCTAGTAACTGATGTCCAGAGCGTACTTAAATTATGGAGGGAACACTTTTCCGCCCTACTAAATGGTAGCAGCACGGAAAGTTGTGGAGAAGAAGAAACCGAGCCCGCAGTCGATGATGACGGAGTCGACGTTCCACCGCCTGACTATGACGAGGTACGTATAGCAATAACGAGGCTGAAAAACAACAAAGCCGCTGGAGCTGATAGCCTGCCAGGAGAGCTATTCAAGTACGGCGGTGAGGAGTTGATAAGGTGCATGCATCAACTCTTGGTCAGAATATGGTCAGATGAACGCATGCCCGACGACTGGAATTTAAGTGGGCTCTGCCCAATCCACAAGAAAGGTGACCCCGCCATTCGCGCCAACTACCGCGGGATCAGCCTTCTAAGCATAGGTTACAATATATTATCGAGCGTACTGTGTGAAAGACGGCAGCCCACCGTCAATGAACTGATTGGGCCTTATCAGTGTGGCTTTAGGCCTGGAAAATCCACCATAGACCAGGTATTCACAATACGCCAAATCTTGGAAAAGACCCGCGAGAAAAGGATCGACACACACCACCTATTTGTCGACTTTAAAGCCGCTTTTGACAGCACTAAAAGGAGTTGCCTATACGCCGCTATGTCTGAGTTTGGCATCCCCGCAAAACTCATACGGCTGTGTAAAATGACGTTGAGCAATACCCCCAGCTCCGTCAGAATTGGAAAAGACCTCTCCTTACCGTTCGCCACAAAACGGGGTTTCAGACAGGGCGACTCCCTTTCATGTGACTTCTTTAATCTGCTGTTGGAGAAGATAATAAGAGCTGCAGAACTGAACCGCTCAGGAAAAATTACTACAAGAGCGTGCAATTGCTGGCTTATGCCGGTGACATCGACATCATCGGTAACAAAAACCGCCAAGGCTGTTCTGCCTTTTCCAAGTTGGCTAGGGAAGCAAAGCGCATGGGTCTGGTGGTAAACGAGGACAAGATGAAGTATCTCCTGTCATCAAACAAACAGTCAGCACATTCGCGCCTTGGCACCCACGTCACTGTTGACAGTTACAATTTCGAGAAAGTAGAGAATTTCGTTTACTTGGGAACCAGCATTAACACCGATAATAATGTCAGCATTGAAATCCAACGTAGAATCACTTTTGCCAACAAGTGCTACTTTGGACTGAGTAGGCAATTCAGGAGTAAAGTCCTCTCTCGACGTACGAAAACCGCGCTCTATAAGTCACTCATCATGCCCGTGCTGGTCTATGGCGCAGAAGCATGGACAATGACAACATCCGATGAGGCGGCTCTTGGAGTGTTTGAGAGAAAGATTTTGCGGAAGATTTACGGGCCTTTACGCGTTGGCGACGGCGAGCACCGCAGACGATAGAACGATGAGCTGTATGAGCTTTACAACGATATGGACATAGTGCAGCGAATTAAAATACAGCGGCTCCGCTGGCTTGGTCATGTCGTTCGAATGGACACCAACGCTCCAGCTCTGAAAGTATTCAACTCGGAACCCGCTGGTGGTAGCAGAGGAAGATTGAGGCCCCCACTGCGATGGAAAGATCAGGTGGAGAAGGACTTGGCTTCACTTGGCGTTTCCAATTGGCGTCAGTTGGCACAGAGGAGAAACGACTGACGTGCTTTGCTGAACTCGGCCAAAATCGCTTAGGCGGTTACAGCGCCAAAAAAGAAGAAGAAGAAGCAGTGACGTGGCAGGAAATTCGATAGAGAGCAGTGTAATCTGTTGAAAAATATTACCCAATTTTCCGTGAAATTGTGATTCGGATTCGTATTATTCATAGTTTAGAAATATATTTCGCAAAAACAAATAATAAAAATAGCTGAGATCACTTTCTTTTTTAAACACCTAGGATATCACTGACAATTTTAAATGATCCTGGATGACGGCAAAACTCAAAACTTTACAAATTCTTTGATGTTATTTATGAAATGAACGATCCAAATTAGCCGGTATATTTACATACTTATGTATTTGAATATTTTTAGAATCAGTGGTTGAATTTTTGTACTGAAAGGGTTAGTAAAGCGTTAGTTTAAAAGCGTGATACGAAATGCCTTTCACCATGAAACGGCGCCAATTTTAAGTGATTCTTGCGTTACATACTACTACTAATAAAGTTCTTGGAAGGATTTTGTAAAAGGTTGGACTATACCTTAAAAACTACTGTTTTCTCACAACCCACTGTACGAAGCTATGAGTAGAGAAAAGCCCTTTAATAACTTAAAAATTATCTTGGGTTATTAGGTCTCTAGCAAACAAGATTAATTGTTGTCTTTCACGAAGTCCTTTAAATAAATCTTGAGCTAAATACTGAAGTATATTCATGAATATCACGTTTTATATTTTACTTAAATTTAAATACCTAATATCTGCAAGTATTTTTTTAATGCATTCACCCGAATTTCGGGGGGTTATTACTAGTATGTATAATTGCTCAGTCATACGACTTAGTTAGGGCGATCTGTAGTGCAATTCACTCACTTTTAACGATACGATTTGTCGAGGTCTAATATAACGGTTTTTGTGGTTTGCAGTAACGTGTGTTTATTCGGTAACTCTTTTTTAACGACACTAAACAGCTGACATTTTCTTTTTATTTCAGTAAAAGGAAGGTGGCATCTCAACTTAACGAAACGTCAAAAAATGCGAAAAGCACAAAGAAGAATGACGAAAAACAAACAAATTCCTTGCTTGCAAAGTGGTATACACATAGTTTTCTGAATATTTTAATATACTTTTACAAAAAGTAAGTAAAATAAAACGTTTATTTCTTTTGTATTATTAGACATAACCATTTTCGCATATTATAGAATGGCTTCGTCAGTACCCAGTGTTCAAAAGAGAAGCCGGACCACAGCAGAACAACTAAGTCGCATGGTATGTAAAAGTTGTTAGGAATTTAATACCACGTTTAAAATTTTGTTTTGCAAAAAGATATGGGGGGATTTGAAGAGCCGTACTAGTATTAAGGTGCGTGATAGAAAACGAAAGCAGGCAATGACGGGAAACAATCCCATTAATGAAGATCCACCCACTGAGCTTGAGATGCGTGTGAATGCCCTTGTCGGTAGCGACTATGTGCAGGGCCATGAAACTTTTGCTGAAAGTGGGCCAGTGGAAGAGGTAAAAAGCAAATAAATCGTTATGAATAGCACAGCAGTTAACAATTCTTCCCATCATTAGGAACTCCAACTTCGTATGGAACACACACATATAGCAGCAATTAATTTCATTTAAAGAAATTGCGTGTCGTCCATTTCCGCTGTAGCGTATGTAGTGCATATTTTTAACTTCTTCTGGCCAGGCGATATCTATCTCTAGAGTTTTTCTAATTGTATGGCTTTGATATGATACCTACAACGAGGTTGATTTCTAGACTAGGTTGATGTCTAGAATTTGCCATAAATAGCTTTGCTACATTAATAGTAGGTGCATTCTTTTGCAACCGAGCTACAAAAGAACACTCGCTTAAATGACGAAATACACGCAAAGCAACAACACAAACTCGGCTATTTATCCGAGCTCAGCCAGGTCGGTTAAAAAATACACGACCTGAAGGCTAGTGTTGGTAAGTGAAAAAACTGCTGTATTGTGAATTGTTAATGGGAAAGTGGAGAGGGAAATTTTTGTTTCCTTTTATATGTGACTTATATTTTAAAAGAGTATATATATTACGCAAATACCTCGCATATTTACTCATTTAAATTGGTTTTTGTATCTAAATCTCGTTAAACTAATCACATTTTCTTGCCAGATACCAACAGAGTTGCTTAAGTAGCTAAAAAGAAATTTTACCCGAGTTGAGCGTTCTTTTGTCGCCCACTTACAAAAAAATGCAGCTAGTATAAATGGTGGTCTAGACATACAACATTCAAAGCGGCCTGGACATACAACATTGCAAGTTGATAAAAGGGTTGTAATAATAATAATAATATAACCCCTATTACAGAATGTACACGAAAAAAAACTGGTCGCACATAACCAAGCATAGCTCGGTTAATCATAACATTAAAATAAAAATCGGTAGACACTTAAAAAGCTGGAAGCATTTTCCACCTTACTGCATCATTTATTTTTAGTAACAAAAATCAGTGTAGAAACGAGGACCAAGAAAGAAATCGATCGCGAGTTAATATTGCGCAAAAAGCTGGAAAATCCCAGCATGTTCCATAACGACATCGCAAAAAAGCTAAAATTTCCAAAGTCTACCGTTACTTATGTGCTTTAAAAATACAATGAATGTTTATCTTCAAAAAGGAACCCTGGTAGTGGCAGAAAAAAAGGATTTGCTCGCGAAAGTAAGGCAAAGGAAGTGTTATCTGCTTTTAAGAAAAATCCTGGACTTTCGGTAAGAGATGTCGGCAAAAAATTAAACATGTCGTCTTCGTATATACAAAAAGTATGCAAAACAGCAGGACTACGTTCTTACAAAGTGAATGCAGCACCTAATCGCAACGGTAAGCAAAATTTGTTGGCGAAACAACGTGCTCGGAAATTGTACGACAGTCTCATACAAAAATTTGGCTGTATTGTTATGGATGACGAATCGTACGTAAAAGCCGATTTTAAACAAATCCGGGGCCGCGAATTTCACACTGCAAATAAAAGAGGCAATGTTGCAGATAAATATAAAAACAAAAAGTTTGACAAATTTCCCAAAAAGTTTCTCATTTGGCAGGCAATTTGCCAATGCGGCTTCAAAAGTGATCCTTTTGTAAGCACTGGTACAATTAACCAAGAAATTTATGTTAAGGAGTGTCTGCAAAAGCGACTTTTACCTCTTATACGGCTTCATAAAGATCCAGTGCTTTTTTGGCCTGATCTCGCGATATGTCATTACGGAAAAAATGGCTTCAGGATGGTAACATAGAAACAAAGTGTATTTTGTAGCAAAAGAAGTGAATCCACCTAATTGTCCAGAGCATCGGCCGATCGAAACCTACTGGGCCGTTATGAAATCCAAACTTCTTAAGACCCACAAAGCTGTAAAAAACGCACAACAATTCAAAAATAAATGGCAGCAGGTTTCCAAGGAAATCACTGAAACTTCTGTGCAAGGGCTAATGAAGGACATAAAGTCAAAATTGCGATCGTTTGCTTATTACAAGGAGAATTAACTCTTTTTTAACGAATTTCAATAAAACTAAGTTTAGATGTAAATATATGTAAATATCGTTGAATTCCATTAATATATTTATGTTTTAGAACGTTTTAACTGTGACCAGTTTTTTTCGTGTACATTCTTTATGAGTTGCATTCGATTTTCGACTGTGGTCGAAAGTGCTGAGCGAACGAATTTTCATTTAGTATTATGGCGCTCATTCGATGAAGAATAGCGCTATTGTGAATTTCGCTCGTTTAGGTTGTTCACAATAGTATATTTTTCACCGCTGAGAAGCTTTGTTTACAAATCGAGCAAACTAAATAGTGTGCTTATACATATTTATGTAAATTTGTTCTAATTAAAATGAAATAAAAAAGAAAGCGAGTTTATAAAAACGTGGTAAAATGAGTACGAGTTCTGGTTCAACGATTCGTCAGAGGATGAGAGCTTAGTAAACTGGCCAGGAGTATCAAATGTTTAAGAGAGTTTATTAGTCTTTCGAATATATTTTGATATACAATATATTGAAGAAATTTGTCTACAGATTCATTAAAAAGTTCCGACCATCCAAAGAGGCGTTTGTGAGCCAAATCTATTTAAAATATTTTAAAACTATCAACAGCGCTACGATTTTGTTCTCAGAGATCGTGCCAACAGAGTATTGGGATTTTCTTTCACAAGTAAAACCAGCCTTTCGAGCTTGTGTTTAGTATTCACGATGTTATAATTGCATGAAATTAATAAAAATTGTTTAAAATTAGTGTGTAGCCGCCAAAATGTAAGAAAACATATACAAAATCATACATTTTTCCCAATTTTCTAACACTTCGCTACACCATCGAAAGCAAAATTCTGTTCGACAGAAAATTCGATACTCAACGAAAATTTCGACACGCTTGCATAGCTCATAATACGAATTTCACTTTCGATCTTCGATAGCCAGCGACAGTGCCTTTCTACATGAAATGGAGCAAATTAAATGATTATAGCGTTTCAGACTACCACTGATAAAGCTCTTGGACACATATTGTGAAAGGTTAGACTATACCTTAAAAATTACTGTTTTCTCACGCTATACGCTGCTATAAGTAGAGAATGACCCTATCTAGCAATACAAGATTAATTCTGGCCTTTCATGAAGTTCTTTATATAAATCTTGAGCTAAATACTGAAGTATATTCATGAATATCACGTTTTATTTTTTACTTAAGTTTAAACACTTAATATCGGCAAGTATTTCTTTAAAGCATTTACCCGAATTTCGTGGGGTTTTTACTAGTAATTCATTATTATTTTATGGTAAATACATGTAATACAAATTTTACAAACAAAGCATTTTATTTAATAAAGCAAAACAGCAGTTTGATATTCACATTCGAATCCCATTAGAGATCTACATAAGAATTAGAACTATGTCCAATTTTTGTTGAGACCGCTATGATTCTCGATAGTTTTTCCCGAGTCGATCCCTAACGTTTGAGATTGGAGAATGTGGCTAGTTCTCCGATCATTCTCTAATCGATAACTAACCTCAATGTTTCCTAGGATATTTTCGCGGAACTTTGCAAATATATGTAATTTTCGATTTTCTTAATTTTTCGATTTTCAGTTTTTTGCGAAAAGAATTTTTCGAACAATACTAAAATCACACCAGACAATGCGAGAAAAGAGAATATTTACAACTTTGTAACTTTTAAGTATAGCCTTTGGTTTTCTGAGACGCGATGTCTGGGAACAACAACAAAGTCTGTCTGACTGTTCATTTGACAGCAATTGAGTCACCATAAGCCGGTCATACAAAATCATTACACGTAAGTCAGCCACTTTCTTGCCACCATCCATTGGAAACGAGCTATACACCAACCGTAAATAAAGATTCCTGTTTGGACCGACAAACCAAGGTCAACATTGGCGCCCAACTAAACGGGTGAAAAAGAATAAGTTTTTGTTGAACATAACCACACTTAAGCCCGGCATAAAATAACCGCGTGCTCAGCTGAGGGAATATAGCAATTTCATCATCGAATCAATTTAAACATCATAAAATTAGATTTAAGGAAAAATTAAAATCTTTTAGTCGTTTTTCTCATTTTGTTGGTCACAAAATTGTACGTCGGTGAACCAAACATATTCAAGTTTAATAGATTTTTGATAAATTTTTTCTTTTAGAAATTTCGCTATTATAAATCATCATTGAGATTGAATCAAATAATTATCTTTTGAATTCATAATCACTGTAAATCAATATCGTCCTCAGTCTTTACTCGGCATGATTTAATTGACTTTTATTTTTATCGTTTTCAATCAAAATTTTTGTGGATATTTTGATTATTTAATTCCGCGGGGGTGAATGGTGATCGATCTGCGATGCGAGCACCATTGATCAACAGTCATAACCATTCTCGTTCAGTTCTGTTCGCCAATTCTGAAAAGCAAGTTAATTGAATTTTTTTAATCAAGTAACACCACACATCGACGGTCAAGATTTTTGAACCGATAATTTTTCATTTCGTCTTTCGGTATTAAGTTCAAGCAACGTAACCGATAACACGGTCAATATTAATTGAACCAAACTATTAATTTTGATTTATTTTTGTAATTTCTTTGGGTATTCATTCCCAACAAAATTTGAAACTCGTTTCAAAGTAATCTCGTTTAACATTCTCAAACTGGTTGAATATTCTCGGTCTGATTTGGTCTTCCGGTAAATTCGGGGGTGGATAGTCTTGATCTTTGTTGCGTATCTTGTTGGCGACAGAAGGGACCGAAGGAG